CCCCGCAAATCGCGACTTCCACTGCAGGGTCCCGGCCCCTGCCCAGCGGCCCCGCGCCCCATTGCCCTCGCAGCGCGCTGCACCCGGGAGGGCTGGGCGGGGCTCACTGCTCTGCCTGTCTCCCCAGTGGCGCTGGCCGAGGTCATCAAGGCCTTCGGCTCCCCGGAGAACGCGCAGCGCATGGAGGAGGCCCGGGACAACGCCTGCAACGACATGGGCAAGATGCTGCAGTTCCTGCTGCCCGTGGCCACCCAGATCCAGCAGGACGTGATCAAAGCCTACGGCTTCAGCAGCGATGGGGAAGGTGGGTTCGCCGGGCCGGGGCAGAGCCGGGCTGCGGTGGTTTCCCTTTCCGGCCTTTGTGTCGGAGGCTCCCGCCGAGGGCAGGCAGCACAAAGCGGTGTGGGCCCGGGGAAAGGGCAGTGCAAGCAGCACTTTAGTGCAACCGTGGGACCCACATGTGCAGTATTCTCCACCTGCAGCTCCTTTGTCTGGCCACAGGATGGTATCCTTGGAAAACCTACCGGGGGGGGCGGGGTACTGGGGAATACTGTCACCAGCTAGATCTCTTCCCAGCAGTTTTCTTCCTTCCCCTTCTTTCTCTTAGGTGTCCTGAAATTTGCCCGACTGATAAAATCTTATGAGTCCCAGGATCCTGAGATTGCAAACATGTCTGGGAAGCTAAAAGCCATGTTCCTGCCTCCAATGACACTGCCCCCACACGGGGCTGGGACAGGGGGTGTGCCTGTCTCCTGAAAACCGGGACCCTCTGCTGGCCTTCTTGGGCCAAGTCATGCCACACTACATGCCTGTGAGAGTTTTTGACAAGTGGGATTCCAGGACTGCTCTCCACCACTCATCAGTGTGCTACAGTTTGCCAGAAGAGCCCCCTACTTCTTGGAAACTCTGCAGCAATTGGTTTCTTTGTGCATCTTTGTTTTTTGAGCTTGTGAATAAAAGCTGCTTTGAAAATGTCCCCATGTGTTTCTCAGTGAGTGTGTACCCAGTCTGGATCTTAGCGCTGCTTCCTGGGAAAGAGAGCACGCCCCACTGAATGTAAGGTAGAAGGGAGCTCTGGTTACCTCTCCCCTCCCCCTTATTGGTAATCCCCTAATCTGTGTAGTTCTGCCTTCAGGAGATAAGTACCTTGCATGAGCTAAATTTAAGGAAATCAAGATGTGTGGTATGGGGAATCGCAATCTTAGGCCTGGAAGCAGAAGGCTTGAAACCAATTGACACTTTCTAAACCTCCAACCTTGTAAATCCTACAGGGAGTGCTGTAGGCCAGGACATAAGGCAGCAGAGTGAAGGGGGCTCAGGACTGGAACATCAGGCATTTGGGGTGGGGCTCCGTGTATCTCTCAACCTGTCAAGGCTCCATTGTTCAATGCAATGGCTGGGTCTAGTTTAGAAAAGTAGATTGTGTTTAAAAATATTGCAGCAGGCACTTCTTCACTAACACATTTTTACACAGTAGTTTAGGCGTGTTTAACATAGTTAGAGGGATCTTAGGGTTTACCACCGCAAGCTTACGTGTTTTAAAAGGTGTCAAACTCTGTCTTCTTAAAAGATAACATTTAACAATGCATTGTTAAATGTTATTTGCTAAGGTATTTGTAAATACAATTTAGTCTTCTAGTCCAGGCAAGGTTAGACAAACAATATGTGACAAAGACCCCAAATAAGGGGAACAATAACATATTGATGCAGGAAATTTAAGAAGTTTCACAATTATTGAGCATGAAGGTCTTTATAATTCAGGGTTGGTCTACAGTAGAAAATAAGATTGATCTAGCTATGTTGCTCAGGGATGTAACGCCCTTAACTGACTTGGTTAAGCTAACCCAAGTCCCTGTGCAGGCAGCACTAGATTGATGGAAGAATTCTTCCATCACCCTACGTAATGCCTCTCAGGGAGGTGGATTTTCTGCAGTAATGACAGAATCCCCCCATTGCTGGTAAGGGTCTACCCCAGTAAGGGGCAACCTGGGCTGGTGAGTGGGCCGCATGAGAGATCCTCCTTCATCTCAGTGGGTCACAAAATTGTCCTAACCAAGACAGTCTCCCAGGATAGAGTTGTTTTGCAAACTGCACTAATGTAACTAGAATTTGTGGGGTGTGCCGATTGAACCACAGCAGTGCTTTGGCTGGATGCAGAGAGCGTGCACAGCTCTGTCAGTGTTGTCATGTGCAGTCAGCAGACGCCTCATGTCATGTGCCCTTGCTTTTCATGCGTGTCACTTTAGTAATACGAGTAGGGAAAAAGTGTGGACGAAAACCAGCAGAATCTCAATCCTGTGTGGGCAACAGTAAACAAAATGGCTCATGGGCCATGCACAGAATTCCAAAGGGCCTCAAGTTGTTCACAACTGGTCTGCACTGACCCAGGACAATAGCATTTTAAATGCAGACCTCCAGGTTGTCTTCAGGGGCTGATAAAAGGGACCTGTGGTAGGAGTAATCTGTAATATTTTATGTGTAGACATAGCTTCAACTTCATGATTCTGCATTTCTGGTGTAATCACTTTTTAAAAATAAAAGGGGGCACTAAATTTGTAGGGGATGTAGGTATTCTGGGATTTGAGTGACACTGGCAGGGCTGTTTGGGGAGCTGGATTAGCAGGGGGCTGCAGGGCAGGGCTGAGGGGCACTGGCAGGGCTGTGAGGGGAGCCCAGGGCTGGAATAGCAGGGGGCTGCAGGGCAGGGCTGAGGGGCACTAGCAAGGCTGTGTGCGGAGCCTAGGATTGGAAGGGCCAGGAGCTGTGGCTCAGGTGGCTATTTCCAGATGACAGAGGAGTTTAATTTGTTTTTATCCTCTGTGATACTGTTAGTTCTCCAGGGAGGCTGAAGGTTTGGTGGGGAGGAGGCAGGGAGAACAGGCAGTGCCTACCTTGCTCACCTGCTCTCCTGCCCATGTGTCTCCTCCCCCACCCGCCTATTTATTTATTAACTACCGCTCAGGGAGAGATTTGCAAGTGGTGATCTGGGAAGCCCTTTGTACTGGGCCTGGTTGCCTCAGCTCAGGCTTCCTCATCTCTCTGCTCCAGCTCACCCTCAACTATTGTGACCATGTGAGGGAGGAAGTATTAGGGCTGGAGAGTAAGCGGCATTCAGAGCCTTACTGAATGGATTAGATGCAGGTGAGTCGGGAATCTTACTAGCCGTGATCTAGGTCCAGTTACCTTTTTGTTCCTGGCTCTATGAAATTAGCTATGCTTTCCCTCTGGGTGCTACATCCACCCCCATGCCTGAGTCTGTAATGAGCTTCAGTCCTGGGCCCCTCTCTCAGGAAATTCTTCCTGTTTCCTTGGTATCAGCAGCATTGTTTGTCTCCTTTTCAGTAGGGTCCTTGGGCTGAGGGTTCTCAGCGAGGATCCCTGTGACCAGGGGCCTGATGCCATCCTGTGGGTGAGTGTATTTCTCCAAGGGGTTTCTTGGCTGTAGGGTTTGTGATGGGAGAAAGAGCTGGGAAGTGAGAGGCAGATGTGGGGAAAGCAGCAATGGAGAGGGTGGGCAAGGGGGCTATAGGAGAGATGGGGGTCAGTACTGCTCACCCTAGCAAAAGTAAAGCTCGTTTGTTCCAAGGCACAGATGGGAAGGGACTGGCCCTTGTCCTAAAGCAAATCAAAGACAAAGCCATAATTTTGCCAGAGGCCAGGCCTCTCCCCACTTTAATTCACTGGCCCTGCTCCTCCTCTGGAAATGGAGCCCAGGAGTTTGGGCACTCGCCAGACATATTTGCTGTGCAGACTTCAGCAGACAGCACTGCAGGAAAGCACCTTCAGAAAGCTTCCTCTACAGCCAAGAGGGCTGGCAGCTGAATTGTTTAGAAACAGCTGCTGAAATTCTGTAATCTGCAGAAGGGTGTGGGTTCCACAGTGTCACGAATCATGGGGTCCCCTCCACATGGCTCCCAGGCTGACTTCTAAACCAGGATCAGTACCGCAAGAAATTAAAGTGCTGTAGAACTGTCAGAAGGGAATGAGGAGCCTTAATGAAGTCTCCTCTCCCTAGCTGCTCCCATGCCCATGGTACAGGAACACTGAGGCATAGCTCCAGTGCTGTCTTCCTGGCTGTCTTCCACTAATGTCCTTTCTCATCTGGAGGAAGGTCCAGGCAGAGTATGAACATAGGTAGCAATTGCCAGATCTGGTCTGTCCAGTTCAGTCTCCTGTCTCTGACAGTGGCCACAGTCAGCTGTGTTGGATGAAGGTGCAGAAAACCCCTTAGTTTATTGTTCAATAATGTGTTTCCACGAGGGGTTTCTTTCTTATCCATCTTGGTTCCTGGGTTATGATCAGAAGCAGGAGACATTCTATCCTTCTGTTTTCTCTGATCAAAAGTAAGTGTGAAGGTTCTGGTCATTCATATAACGTTCAGTCCTTTTATGAATCCTGCTATGCTCATCAAGCGGGGAACGAGGGGGCAGTTGCCCCCGGGCGCAATGCTAGAGGGTGCCAATTTAGTCCCCCTCTGTTCCCCCTGTCGTCCCTCAGCTCTCCTGCTCCTCCTCTGCCCACCGCCATTGGTTGGAGCCTCCTCTCCACCCCTAGCCTCACCTTCCTCCATGTCTGCCGATGGGTTAGTGTGTGCAGGGGCCTGGCCCCAGACGAGGGCACAGGGGAAAACACGGTACAAGCTCCCCCCCCGCCCAGGGTCGGGCTCAGTTGTGCACCTGATTTGGGGCCCCGCCGGGCAGAGGGGTGTGTGGGGTAATTTTGCTTTTGCCCCCGGGCACACAGCACCCTCACTCATGGGGTCAGAGAGACAAGGTGAGTGAGGTAATATGTGTTACTGGACTAGTTTCTGTTGGAGATAGAAGCAAACTTTTGAGCTGCTTTGCCAGAAGAGGAAACCTAAATGAAGTGCCAATTAGCATTTTCTCATGCTTCATTTGTGTAATCTCTTCCCATCCATTTTTGCACAAGAGGTTTTTGCACAAAAACATGCAGTGTGGACGGGGAGAGGCATAAGGATCTTGTGCAAAAAGGGCGTTTTGTGCAAAAAGGAAACGTCCACGCTGCATGTTTTTGCGCAAAAACCTCTTGCACAAAAACGGATTGGAAGAGATTACACAAATGAAGCACAAGAAAATGCTAATCAGCGCTTAATTTACATTGCCTCTTCTGGCAAAGTGCATAGTGTAGACGTAGCCCCAGTGTATACAGTGCTAGATCCACAGGAGAATTCTCCTGTCAACCCAGCCACTGCTTTTCTGGGAGATGGAATACGTATGCTGAGAAGAGAACTACAACCCGCTAACATAGGTAGCGTCTTTCTTCACTAAAGTGCTACAGTGGCAAAGTGACATGACTCAGAATTAAAGACTAGACAAGACCTAGAGAGAGAGATTTACTACACTGACAGAAAAACCCCTTCTGCCACTGTAGAATTTTCCCGGTGAGTGCTCCCATGGGGTTGGGCCTGTTGACGGAAGTGGCCACTGCAGCGGTGCTGGCAGTGTAGACATGGACTTTTTTTCATCGATGTAGATTAGCGGTTCCCAACCTTTTCCAGAGGGGGACCCATTCCGACAATTCAGGAAGACTTGGTGACCCAGGGCAATTCACAAAAAGTCTCCTGGGGAGACACCTGGTGACCCTTTTGAAATGTAATGGTGACCCATAGGTTGGGAAACCCTGATGTAGATAATAGGCAATTTGGGGCAGAGGCTGTACCTGTGTCTGATATGAACGTGTTGCCTAGCGCACTGCACTCCCAGTCTCTAGTCGCTGCCATACTGCTGCTGTGCCAGGTCTCTTTCTTGTCTCCTCTTACCTGTTACTTCTCTGAGCAGTCCCAGTCTTTTCAGACGTGAGAGAGTAGCTAGAGCAGAGCGCAGCATTGCAAGTGAGGGCAATCCCACTGATTGGCGTGACAGCACTGGGATAGGACCAGTATTTTTCTCCAGTCCATTGGGCTGTATCTTATAGCTTTGCTTCATGCTTTGATGGCTTCTGCCCACTAAGCAGAGGTTTTCATTGAGCCTCCGCAAGAACACCTGGATTGCAGTTAATTTCAGTCCAGTTAGTTCAAAAGGATCTCACAAAATGAGTGACTGCTCAACAAAATGGCAGATGAAATTCAGTGTTGATAAATGCAAAGTAATTCACACTGGAAAACCTCATTCCCTAGCTATCCATTGCAAATGATGAGGTCTAAATTAGCTATTACCACTCAAGAAAAAGATCTTAGAGTCATTGTGGATAATTCTCTGAAAACATCCATTCAGGCTATATCTACACTACAGGGTTTTTGCGCAGAAACCCACGGAGCGTCCACACCTCAAGCAGGAACATGTAGGCAGCTGGAAGCAAATGCTGCAGGAACTGCAGCATGGCCGTGTGGGGCTGTCACCTGCCCAGGGGCAGTGCCCACTCTATAGCACACACCAAGCAAAAAGCTGTGGTGTCCCCAAAAAGAACAGGGCAACCACAGCAGGCACTGCTGAAGCTTTGCTGTCCCTCAACAGAGGTCCACAAGCAGGCAGCAGAAACAGAGAAGTGGCTGTCCAGGGGGATCCTTTAAGCATGTGTCGTAACCTAAAGCCTAGCTAGAACTGGTTCCAGGTGGCTTTATATGTGAAAAAGCATCCAGTGAGTGTGGACGCTCTCTTTCACAAAATTGCATCACTTTTTCGATTTCGATGCACTTTTGCAGTGTGGATGCGCTCTTGCACAAGAAGTTTTTGCAGAAGATCTCTTCAGTGAAAAGCTTCGTGCACAAGAATCCTGCAGTCTAGATGTAGCCTCAGTGTGAAGTGGCAGTCAAAAAAGCGAACAGAAGTTTGGGAATCATTAAGAAAGGGGTAAGAATAAGACAGAAAGTACCTTAGTGCCTCTATAGAAAGCAATTAAATCTTTAATACTGTGTGTAGATGTGGTTGCCTCATTCAAATAAAGGTATATTGGAATGGGGAAAGGTTCAGAAAAGGGCAACAGAAATGATGAGGAGTATGGAACAGCCACAGGAAAAGAGATTAATAAGACTGGGACATTTCAATGTGGAAAAGATATAACTAAGGGGAGATGTGATGGAGGTGTATAAAATCATGACTGGTGTGGATAAGTAGATAAGGAACACAAGAAGTAGGAGTCACCAAATGAAATTAATAGGCAGCAGGTTTAAAACAAAACATAAGGAAGTTTTTCTTTACACAGCGCACAATCAGCCTGTGGAACTCCTTGCCAGAGGATGTTGTGAAGACCAGCACTTTAACAGGGTTCAAAAAGAACCATAAGTTCATAGCCATTGCTGGACCTATCATCTATTGGGCAGGATGGGCAGGAGTGCTGTCCCTATTTGCCAGAAGCTAGGAATGGGCAATAGAAGATGTCTTGCTTCTATGTCTTGCTGCTTTCACTCTTATTCAAAGGTCAGCCTGCCTGAATGGACTCTCATAATATCCATGCTTAAATGTCCTCCGTTATGAACTTGAAGATCTTAATTGCTTTACTTTTGACCTAATGGCCCCAATGACTAGTATCCTCATTTATTTTTAAACTTTCTTTACTGTCACTGTGCCAGTTTTCGATATAGGCTTGATCCAGGAATCACTAGGTGAAATTCTCTGACATACGTGAAACAAGTAGGCAGACTAGATGAGCATACTGGTCCCTTCTGACCTTGGAATCTATGAAGACCATGAGAATGGCCATACTGAGTCAGACCAATTGTCTCTGTCTAGCTTATTATCATGTCTCCAATAGCAGCCAGTACCAGAGCTTCAGTGGGAGTGTACTGAACAGGAGAGATCCAACCCTGTCATTCTTTTCTGTCAGTCAGAGGCTTAGGAACACATGGGATTATATCCCTACGCATCCTGGCTAATAACCTATGATGGGTCTATCCCCCATGGACTTACCTAGTTCTTTTGTGAATCCTGTTATATTTTTGATGGTCACAACCCCTGACGATGAGTTCCACAGGTTAATTGTGTACTGTGTGAAAAATACTTCCTCTGGTTTGTAGTTTTGTGACTCCTAGTTTTTATAGTGGGAAAGAGGGTAACTAACACATCTCTAACCACTTTTTCCACACCATTCATAGACCTCTCATATCTCCTTCCCAGCCTTAATGGTCTGTTTTATAAATTCAACAGCCCTAATTTTTTTAGTCTCTCCGTGTGCAGAAACTATTCCATTGCTCTTGGTCATCTTTGTTGCCTTACTCTCAACCTTTTCAACTTCCACTCTGTTCTTTTGAGACGGGTCAGTCAGAACTGGATACACTGTTCAAGGTTTGGACTCCCCATGGATTTATACAGTGGCATTATGCTATGTCATATTTTGTATCCCAGTCCTAATGGTTCCTACTGTGCTCTTGGCCTTTTTTACCACTGCCGAGAACTAAGTTGAAGTTTTCAGACAAATGAAGCAACAATCTCTTTATGGAGTGGCAACAGCTAATTTAGGATCCATTGATCTATATGTGTAGTCAGTGCTTTTTTTTGTAAAAGAAAAAGTGCTGGTACTCCAGGGGAAAAGTTGTTGAGCTCTGACTGGAGGTGCCAGTACTTCATATGGAGGTGCCAGTACTGAGTACCAGGCAGTACCGTCACAAAAAAAGCTCTGTGTGTAGTTACAATTACTTTTGTTATCAACATAGTTACCATAATTATTATTTAGTGGCTCGGTTACACTTACTTCCTGAACTGACTCCACAGAGCTAAACTGAGACTAGCGTCTCCTTGTGCATGCTTTAGTACTGCCTGTCCCAAGCAGGTACCAAGACATTACTTCTCTAAGCCTTGTCCCCTTGGGACAATCACACAGTTGGAATCACCCATTTAGCAGGATTTTATTAGACTTTGTTGACTGCGATCTCCCTCATCCCTGTACACTGAAAACCTTTCCCTGGTCTGCAGGCAGCATCACCTTGCACATTTGTGTACTTATGACTTGGGATTTGGGTCCATACACATTTTACTACGTGGTCTGCTCCACGCAGAATAGATTATCTGAGTGGAGCCTCTGGAATGTGCTGGGTTTAGCAGTACTCCCTCCCCTCTGTTTTTTGACATGACCTCACTGGGTAGTTCACAGCCAGATAGTGTGGTGTGTGGTATCTCTTTGATTTGTGAGTCTTGTCTGGTTCAGTAAAACCTGTTAAAAGGCTCTTTGTTGGCCAGATGTTTTGGTTCACCTGACTTTTACTTCACATCTGGGTGTAAACACCCTGGTGAATTTTGCCCTATTGCCATTTAACTCCTTATTCTGCCACCCTGTGATCTAAACCTGCCCCTGCTACAGTGGAGCTGTAATTTCTGGCCTACTCTTCACTGGAGAGTGATGCCTTTGAATCATTGACCTCTCTAACAAGGTGGCTTTGTCTGGCCTGAGTGCTCCTTAGCACCTACTGGCTGCTGCACGGTTCTAGTTGAAGCAATTCCCCGGCCCACACTTTATTTTTTCTGTGCCAGTAATCTAGTTCCTCCTTGGCTAAGTTGCAGCCCATTGCTTGTACAAATTCTCTCCTTTCTCTCTCCTTTGCCCTTCCTCCCTCCACATCAAATCCCTGTGTCTGATAAATGTAAATTCCTCCTTATTATTAGGAGATCGGGAGAGATCCCAGATGATTGGAAAAAGGCAAATGTAGTGTCCATCTTTAAAAAAGGGAAGGACACTCATTGGCACTACAGACCAGTCAGCCTTACCTCAGTCCCTGGAAAAATCATGGAAGGGATCCTCAAGGAATCCATTCTGAAGCACTTGGAAGAGGGGAAAGTGATCAGGAATAGTCAACATGGATTCACGAAGGGCAAGTTATGCCTGACCAATGTGATTAGCTTCTATGATGAGGTAACTGGCTCTGTGGATATGGGAAAGTCAGTGGATACCTTGGCTTTATCAAAGCTTTTGATACGGTCTCCCACAATATTCTTGCCAGCATGTTGAGGGAATGTGGATTGGATAAATTGACTGTAAGATGGATAGAAAGCTGGCTAGAAGGTTGGGTCCACCGACTAGTGATCAATGGCTCAATGTCAAGTTGGTGGTCTGTTTCTAGTGGACTGCCCCAAGGATCGGTTCTATGACCGATTTTGTTCAACATCTTTATTAATGACCTGGATGTGGGGATGGATTGCACCCTCAGCATGTCTGCAGATGACACTAACCTAGGGGGAGAGGTAGATATGCTGGAGGGCAGGGATAAGGTCCAGAGTGACCTAGACAGATTAGAGGATTGGGCTAAAAGAAATCTGATGAGGTTCAACAAGGACAAATGCAGAGTCCTGCACTTGGGACGGAAGAATCCTGCACTTGGGACGGAAGAATCCCAAACATTGTTACAGGCAGGGGGTAAGCAGCAGTTCTTGCAGAAAAGGACCTGGGGATTCCAGTGGATGAGAAGCTGGATATGAGTCAACAGTGTGCCCTTGTAGCCAAGAAGGCTAATGGCATATTAGGGTACATTAGGAGGAGCATTGCCAGCAGATCTAGAGAAGTGATTATTCCCCTTTATTCGACTCTGGTGAGGCCACATCTGGAGTATTGTGTCCAGTTCTGGGCCCCCCACTATAGAAAGGATGTCGACATGGAGAGGGTCCAGCAGAGAGCAACCAAAATAATTAGGGGGCTGGAGCACATGACCTATGAGGAAAGACTGAGGGATTTGGGTCTGTTTAGTCTGCAGAAGAGAAGAGTGAGGGGGGATTTGATAGCAGCCTTCAACTTCCTGAAGGGAGGTTCCAAAGAGGATGGAGAGAGACTGTTCTCAGTAGTGACAAATGGCAGAACAAGGAGCAATGGTCTCAAGTTACAGTGGGGGAGGTCTGGGTTGGATATTAGGAAGAACTATTTCCCTAGGGGGGTGGTGAAGCACTGGAATGGGTTACCTAGGGCAGTGGTGGAATCTCCATCCCCAGAGGTTTTTAAGTCTCAGCTTGACAAAGCCCTGGCTGGGTTGATTTAGTTGGGATTGGTCCTTCCTTGGGCAAGGGGCTGGACTTGATGACTGCTGAGGTCTTTTCCAGCTCTGTGATTCTATGATTAGCTTTGTACCTGTATTTTGAGACTCTGAAGTTCCCCTTGCCTGACTGGCCTTTTGCATGGAACTGGAAGTGTTTCAGAGGAAGCTGCTGCACAGCCCTAGAGCTAAGCAGTCTTTCTAGCAATCTAAATTTAGCTTCCTGGGCTTCTCTCCTTCCCCTTCCTGTGTCATCGGTTTCAGAGTGCACCACAAGCTCCTCCTCAGCCGCCACTAGTAGTCTGTCTGGATGTCTTAGGGATCTGCCACCTTTCCACCAGGCAGCAAAGTCACTGAACACTTCTTACGGTCACTAGTTATCAGTACTCTAATGATCAAATCTCCACAAAACACTCAGCCTGTGTCCATCTCTCACCCAGAGCCCCATTTCCTGGAGCACCCTTCCTGTGGCCAGGAGGAAGGACCAGCCTCCCCTACCTCAGTTGGAAGCAGGATCCCTTCCCTTTGACCTCCAGGTTCCTCTTAAATGGGGGGCTGGGAAAGTCAGTTCTGAGGTGGGCCTGCTCTGTAACATCCCCATATGCCATAGCTATAAACGTTTCTCTGTGCATCTCCAGTACAGCCACTTTGGCTGTAATGTGCTGTATTTGGACTCTGCAGGCCCCATGCTGCTTGCATCGGGTGATGCATATGCCATTGTAGCTATCGGTGCTGTACTCTGAACAGTAACCTGGGTAGCCCCAACCTTGACAATCCACTGACAACTGTCACCTCACAAACCCATCCAAAAAAGACAGTCAGGGCCAGAGGGGAGACAACAAGGTGGTCATGTGGTTAGAGCACTGGATTGAAATTTGGAAAACCTGGGATCAATACCTGGCTTTGCCACAGATTCCTGAGGCAAGTCATGTCATCTAACATGTGCCTGAGTCCCCCATCTGTATAATGGGAATAATCCTTCCTTGACATGCAGGGGTGTTGTGAGAGCACTTTCATGCTCAGCTAGGTAGCTCGGAACAGCTGAGCACAAGCTTTGGCTGCTTTAGGACCTCCCTGGAGTGGCCTAGCTGGAGATGGGATGAAGTGTACCACTGCAGCTGCTGGGCCAGCATTGGCTGTCTGCATTGGCCTGCAGCTGTGCACTGCAGTCGCACTGATGCCGTGATCTGCTCTGCACCATTGCAAGAAGCGTAGGCTCACCAGCATAACCCCACCGTGGGGGGTGGTGAAGACACCCAGAATAACTGAGACAAAAAAGGGAGGAGAAAAGAGGCAAAAGGAGAAGCAGAAGTTTGTGCAGAGCAGCTTAGGGCTGAGGAGCTGATGGCCAAGCGACGCTTCCTGTTCCTTGAGTTGTGTGCTGTCTGAGCGGCGCACTCGCCTCGCTTCTCTTTGTGCCCCAGCATAACCCCACCGTGGGGGGTGGTGAAGACACCCAGAATAACTGAGACAAAAAAGGGAGGAGAAAAGAGGCAAAAGGAGAAGCAGAAGTTTGTGCAGAGCAGCTTAGGGCTGAGGAGCTGATGGCCAAGCGACGCTTCCTGTTCCTTGAGTTGTGTGCTGTCTGAGCGGCGCACTCGCCTCGCTTCTCTTTGTGCCCTGCCCCGGAGGGAGAGGGAGTGAGTCGGGGAGTAAAGGGGAGGCAGAGGCAGAAAGAGGCAGATGGACTGAGCGAGGGAGACACAGGAGAGGTAGATGGCCAGAGAAACGTGTCGGGAGCTCAGCATAAGGGAGTCGGGCAGAGGCGGCAGGAGCTTACTTCCCTTTTCTTGCCAGCTTTAAAAGCTCTTTTCTTTACGTCTTTCAAGTTCCTTTGGCTGTAGCTACCCAGGCCCTGGCTGTTCTCCCTCAAGGATGGTGAGGTAAGAGGGGAACTGAGGTGGTGGGGGATTATCTTGCTTGCTCTACCCGCTCTCCCCCGGTACAGCCCTTTCTGGGAGATGGGTCTGGGATCATCTCCCAGGGGTGTGTGACAGAGGCTCTTCCCAGGCCATCTGCTGTCCAATCCCCTCAAAAGTTGGGATCCTTTTGAGGTAGCCCCTGCTCACTGTATGGGCCCCTCATAGAGGTACAGCTGGCTACCCTGTCAGCCTTCACCCTTTCCTGCTTTTCTGCTCTTCCCTAGGTGGTTCCACAGGGACCTGAGCGGACTGGAGGCTGAGTCCTTACTCAAGGGACGAGGAGTTCATGGAAGTTTCTTGGCTAGACCCAGTCGAAAGAACCAGGGAGATTTCTCTCTTTCGGTCAGGTGAGTAACTCAGACCCCGTCCTGCCACACCGTTGCCACCTCAGGGATTTGTGTGCGCTTTGCTCTCTGCCCCTTCCTCGGGACTGCCTAGCCCATCCCCAGCTCAAGCTAGATAAGGGGCTGTGCTTTCCAGCTCCATCCCTCCCTCCAGTTCATCCTGCCCCCTCCCTGAAAGGTACTTGAGGGGCCACACTGTCTGACCCACTCTCCCTCCGTACTTCTTGGCTCAATTCTCCCAGCCTCCATCGTGAGACACATAGGAGGGACATTACTTTCCCTTCCACTTTTTCTGATCCTGTGTTGTTCTTCACCTGACTTTTCTCTGCCTCGCTCCTCAGGGTAGGTGACCAGGTGACGCACATCCGTATCCAGAACACTGGGGATTATTATGATCTCTATGGAGGGGAGAAGTTTGCCACGCTCTCTGAACTCGTGGAGTACTACACACAGCAGCAGGGTTCACTACAGGATAAAGATGGGACTGTAATAGACCTGAGGTATCCACTGAATTGCTCCGATCCCACTGCAGAGAGGTATGGAGGAAACAGAGCCCCGTCCTCCCCCCGTCCTCCCCCAGCTTCACCCTGCACTTGTAGGGACTGAGGAGCTCATTCCCGTGGGGTGTCCCTCTTCTCCCCCAAACAGACTCAGTATCAGTCTGTCTGGGATTCACAGCATACCCAGCCCCCACTCCAGATCAACAAATGAATTAACAAATATCCCCCTCTCTCCTCCTTTGCACACAAGTTTGTGAAATTTCAATATGGGCCCCACTTATATTTGGCAACTTTGACTTCCGCTGTCTCATTGGTTTTGCTATTTATATCTTGTTGCTAAAAGTGAAAATTGTGATGTTAGTTACAAGAAGAGACCTGAGTTTATATAGAGTGCACTGTGTGAGCAATGCCCCTCAGTTCTGCTCAGCAGCCCCCTGCAATCCTAGCCCTGGGCTCCCCTTGAAGCCTTGCCAGTGCCCCTCAGTCCCGCCCTGCAGCCCCTGCTATTCCATCCCTGGGCTCCCCTCACAGCCCTGCCAGTGCCCCTCAGCCCTGCCCTGCAGCCCCTGCTAGCCCAGCGTAGAGCACCCTGCTGATGGACCTCTCAGTCTATGCTTTTCCAGTCCTCGCTTGCCTCCCTCCCCTCCACTATTTGCATGGATCTTTGGCACCGTGTCCCTAAATCAAATCAGGTGGTTTGCAGAGTGCTGTGCTCTCAAACCTCTGGCAGGTCCCCCTAGCCCTGGGGCAGGGCTGCGGTTTAGTGTGAGACAGCACATGTGTCCCTCAGCATGCTGCTTGCTCCTGTCACGGCAGTTGGCCTAGGCTGGGGCTCTGCAGCTTCCTCCCTTCCCATTGCGGTTGGAAACTTCCCTCCCCCCAGCTCTTACGAAAGCTCCTTTTCTCACTCTCCCTCCCTGAGAGATTTTCCATCACGTGGGTTCCCTGAGCGGGAAGGGGGGGGGGTGTTAACTAGTTCCTCTCTGCACAGGGAGAGAACAGGGCCAGCGCTGCAAATCAAAGTGGGCAGCAGAGAGCCCCTTGCTGCCCCAGCTCCCTCTCAGCCCTGGCTCTTTCTTCACTGCTTGGCCCCACTCATGATCAGGGGCCTGGTGACAGAGGTTATATGATGTCTTGTGATCAGGGTCCACAGCCATTTACCTAAGAGTGTTATTAAATCATAAGCTGGACCCCCATGGCTAGTTAATCAGAGCCATTCCTTGCTCTCCAAACAGCCCATGCCCTTTACCTGACATGCAAAATGCTTAGCCAGTAGCGTGTGCTTTCCAAGTCCTAAGGCACCACCACCCGCTGCCCACAGAAAAAATGCTGGGAGTTGTTTTGGTTGCCAGCAGTTTTGTTAATCCATGAATGGGCAGAAATGGTTCGAGGGGGAAAGACCATGAAGAGCTGGAAGCAGCCGCTGAAGCAGAGTCTGACTTTCAGCACAGCATGGCCAGGCCACCGCACTGGTGAAGTGCTTCCGAGGGGATGGACGAGGCCCAACTATCATGTCAAACCCGGCTGGGAACAGCGGCCTCAGGAAGAGGGTTTGAAGTTAATAACATTCATTTGCGAGCTGCTTCTGAAAGGACATTTGACAAATTCAAATGAAAAACCCACAAAATAAGCCCTGAAAAATTCTTCTAGCTGGATGGGAGGCGCAGACCAGAGACCTCCGATGTGACTGGGACCATCAGGAGGAAACTGCTGCTGACAGGATCCTGTACAGAGTCTGGTGTGTTGTAATACAATACTGCCTGAAGTCAGAAGTGCTGATCACAAGCCGCTGGGTACTGAGAATGCAGAAGAGAGTTGGAGGTGGCCTAGTCCAACGCCACAGATATGCTGCCACTGTGGTAATACATTCTAAATACAATACTGTTGTCAGTACAGAAAGCCAAATGTCAAGGGACAGCTGACATCACATGAGAGACACGTCGCCCTTGGCCTCGATAAAGTCAGCTCAACTACAGAGCCTCTTGCTGGTGAGCACATACTCAGCTTCTTAGAAGATGGAGCTGTGTCCAACCCCGCTGAGTAGCAGGGGGCTAACCATTGTGAAGTGCCGCACTCCCCACGGGACTGCAGACGTGTTAGCAGCAGAGAGGGGCCACAATTCACGAGTGCCTCATCGGCTCCACACGGCATGCCACGCCCTCGCGGGCACTCAAACACGGTCGTTTCTCAGAAGCCTTGGTAGAAATAGCAAAGACCTTGAGAATGAAAATAAAAATTTCCTGGCAGATTGGTGGGAGTCCTGTTTAACTTTGTGAGTCCATCACAACTCATCTGACAGGCTTCCTTGGAATCACCAGTTCAGGAATCCAGGGGTAGCAGGACACAAACCTTAATGCCTGCAGATAATAGATTTCTTCAGCCAAAGACCATTGACCCCGAGAGATTACAAAACAGGAAGGAATTGCAAGAGGAAAACTGGCAAGAATGCTGGAGTCACCCCATTGCAAGTGGGAGAGAATGTTAATTCCAACAGGAAGGGGCTGGATGCTCCTGAGGGTCAGTCCTACAGGAGGCACAGAAGAGAGACAGGCAAATCTAAGGGGGTTCCCTTGGCTCCCTGTGTCAAGCAGACACCCAACATGCAACTGAGAAGGCTTGTGCAAAGGGAGAAGCAGCACGCGTGCCTGGTGACTGACAATGTGAAATGCAGGTGCAATGAGCAGACAGATCTACCTCCATGGTCACACCAACCCCTGCTGTGACCTGACAGTCATCCAGGCTTAGAAATCAGACAGTGGATGCCCAGTCAGAGTCAGACTAACCCTCTCTTTGTCGGGGGCAGGTTATTTACCCCGCCCCTGCGATGCAGACATCCCGTCTATGTTGGATATTGAACTAGCTTTGCGGGGATGGGGCTGTGTGTTATGTTTCAGGTGCATTTGATTTTTCAGATGAAGAGGGAATTGTAACTGTAGGTGCTTATGTCTCTGGGTGTTGACCCTATCTGTGCCCTGCAGTAAGTCATGGGATACTGTGACTGGATAGTCGTCCCTGTGAGGGGACTGGGCCAGAAATACAGCTCCATCTCTTCACAGCCCCCCCTCCACAGTCTCTCCCATTTATTAAACCATCCTCTATTTAGCTTTCCTCTGGGCTTCCTGTCCCGGCTCACCTTTCAGGTCCTGTCCCTCCTGGGGATGTAAAAGGTGACCAGTTATCTGATTACCTGGTGAGCATTAGGGTTATCGGAATGCTTGCTAGGTAACTGGTTAACCGGACGGGCTGGGTGGTGGGAACCTGGACAGGTCAGGCCAGCAGGTAGGGCCCCAGCAGCCCCAGATGGGGGCAGGTGGGACTCTGGTCTCGGCTCCACCTGGCAATGCTGGTAGCCAAGGCTGTGCTTGCAAACCTGTCCCTGGCTGTGCTAGCAGCCCCGACCCAGGCCCCAGTGCATGCCAGGCAGGGGCAGGCCTGCCCACAGCTTTGTGAGCAGGGTTGCCAGGTGTCCAGTTTTGAACCGAACAGTCCAGTATTTGAGCTTTCTGTTCGGGAAACAAATTGAGAAAATAGAAATGAGCAAATAGAAATGTTGGGTATTTCCTAAATAAGATGTAATGTTGATTGTGATGTGATGTCAAGTGTGTCCGGTATTTTTGTTGAAACCATCTGGCCACCCTGCCCGTGAGACCCTGGTGCTGGCCCACCGGTGGTTAACCAGCTAAATGGTACAATTTTAATCATGGAACCGGTTAACTGTTTTGAACGATTCATGTCCCTAGTCCCTTCTGGCTCTGCTCCACCTCAGGCACCTCCCACTCATCTCCCTCCTGACTGTAGCTCCCTCACGTCTTTCCCTCAGCCTCATTCCTCTCCCTTACTTGGCTTCCCTCTGGCCCAGCAGCCCCCAGCGCTTTTCTGATTCTCTCACATTTTCACCCAGATGGTACCATGGGCATCTGTCTGGCCCTGCAGCTGAGTCTCTGCTCCAGTCCAAGGCTGTGCCCTGGACTTTCCTGGTGCGGGAGAGCCTCAGCAAACCTGGTGACTTTGTCCTGTCTGTCCTGACTGACCAACCCAAAGCTGAGGTGCCACCGACTGGGGCTGCTGGTGCCTCTGGGGCCCGACTCAAGGTCACCCATGTCAAGATCATGTGTGAGGTGAGATGGGGCAGGGTACAAGGAAGGGAGCAAGCAGAGGGAGGGAAGAAAACATTTCTCTGTGGCTGCTGGGTAGCCTTTGATCTAGTTTTACCAAGAGGAAACGGCTGGAATGTGTTGGTCTCCAATGATTGATATGAAATCCATGCAGAGGGCTGGGCTGTCTTGTGTGGGGTTCCTTAGCCCTTGTCTGGTCTGAGCAGCGCCTGTGGAGTGTTAGAGAAGAAACAGGCGACCCAGGAGTGGATGGGGTACCGCTTTATTGTGTTGTGGGTCCCCTGTTTCTTCTCTAACATGGGGGATGGCTGATTTTGCTGCATCCAGGATGAGGGAGGAGTCTAGTGCGGACAGAAGTGGCAGAAGGACAGGAAGGGAGCTGTGGGCTTGGGTGCCAGTGGGAACTCACACGTTAGAGGAGCCTGTGAGAGGGAAGGAGAGGAGACTCTGGAGACTTCAGCAGATGCTTATGCACCTGGACCAAGGAACAAAGTGTGACTAGGAGGCCAGAGGGGAAGATGGCAGCAAAAGGGGTCAGTTGTTTTTGGACTTCTTGGCTCTGTAGGTTTATTCAAACTTCATAGGGCACTCGGGAAATGAGCTCCTGAGCTCTGAGGAGAAGCTGAGGCGTTACATGCTGGAGAGAAGACCATATTGAGGACCCTAAGGCTGTGTCTAGACTACATGGCTCCATCGACGGAGCCATGTAGATGAGGGGTGTAGGCAAAGGGAAATGAAGTGGCGATTTAAATAATCGCCACTTCATTTAAATTTACATGGCTGCCGCGCTGAGCCAACAAACAGCTGATCAGCTGTTTGTCGGCTCAGAGCGCTAGTCTGGACGCTCCACGGTCGACATCAAAGCCCTTTGTTGACCGTCCTGTTATTCCTCGTGGGATGAGGTTTATTATTTAAATCGCTGCTTCATTTCCCTTTGCCCAATAAACAAATCTACATGGCTCGGTTGACGGAGCCATGTAGTCTAGACATACCCTAAGTCTAACCTGGGGGATACTACCAGTCCACACATTGCTAGGTCTTCTCTCACTCCACACCATGAACAGTGCTGGGCTTGGGAGAATGGGGAGTGTGTGCAGGTGAATTATGGGGAAACTCAACAACTGACTTCTAACAAGAGTGGGGGAAGTTGGCCTCTCTGGGCTTCCAGCCATGCAGCAGGACACCTGGGGCTAGCTCACTGCCTTTCAAGTTACATGTCACCAGACCAAGCTCTCTGTTGCTATACAGTAATTCCTCATTTAACACGTGCCTGCGAAACACGTTTTCGCGATAGCATGAGGTTTTTTTTTAGGGAATGTTTTTTGAATTACACGACCGTCCCCGGAATAAGACGATTTCCCCAGCTGTTCTGTTGCTGGCGGCTGCGCCGGCCTTCCCCTGCCTCCCTGCAAAGTGGCGGAGGGTTCGCCGCTCCGTTCCCCGCTGACTCCCCCTTGCTGGACGCTTTGCCCTCTCTCCTCTGTCCCCCCCGCCTCTCTGAAAAGCGGCGGAGGGTTCGCCGCTCGCTGCACCGTTCCCTGGCAACCCCCCCTTGCTGGATACAGTGTGGGTCCTGGCAGATCCGTCACAGGGGCATATTCCCAACCCAATCCCCCTCCCCTCTCCTCCCCTACCCTTCCCCAGAGCCAAACATCTCCCCTCCCTGCTGTAACCCAGCCCTCTTTCTCCCCCAACCTTATGTCCTGGCCCCAACAGACACCACCGCTTGAAATGCAACCCCCACCTTTTCCATTATTTTCAATGGGAAAATTGACCCCGTATAACAAGTTTTCACTTAACACGATCATCTTCTGAAACATATCGATAGTGTTAAATGAGGAATTACTGTATTGCCAGGTGGGTGTGACGCATACCACATACAACATGGGCTTCAAACTCAACAGGGCCAGACCTCCCCGGGCTTTGTGCCCTCATGTAACAACATGCCCAGGCCCAGGTTGTAACTGTGCCGTGGGGGGCAGTGGGGCCACTGGGGATGTGAATGACACACCTTGTTCTCTCAGAATGGGAGGTACACAGTCGGAGGTGCTGAGAGGTTCGACAGCTTGGCAGACCTGGTGGAGCATTTCAAGAAGACTGGAATCGAGGAGGTGTCTGGATCCTACGTGTACCTGAGACAGGTAAATGGGGTCCTTGTGTCCTTGTGTCAGGGATCATTTGGGGGGCTTCCCAGCATATGTCTATAGCATGTGTCCTGCTCCAGCTTATGTCTCTTGCTCACCGAGCCTTTCCCTTTTTCTTTGCCCAGCCCTATTATGCCACCAGAGTGAACGCGGCAGACATTGAGAGCAGAGTGCATGAGCTGAACAAGCAGAGCCCGGCTGAGGAGATGTCCAAGGCTGGCTTCTGGGAGGAGTTTGATGTAAGTGACTGTGCTGTGACGGTCTCTGGGCCCTCCTGGGAGACCCTGCTCCCAACCACATTCTCTTTTGCTGCTCCATTAATGGATGTGTTCCTATCATGGCCTCTCAATGGCAGGTCATCTCTGTACCTGTCCTCCCCCCCTCCCGAAGTTGAGCACCCAACAGTCCTCAATGAATATATTGTCCCCATGCTATGCTAGGGAGGGCGGGATGGGGCATTAGCCCTTCTTTATGGCTGGGGAACTGAGGCAGAGAAAAGCTGTGCAAAGCAAGGAATGAACCCAGATCTCATGAATCTCCTAGGTTGTTGCTCTCCCCTGTCCTTCAGCACTATCTCACCTGTCACAGCGGGCTGCTTTGCCTGACAACTACCTTTCCCCTTTCAGAGCCTGCAGAAACAGGAAGCTAAGCACCTTTATGACCGGCATGAGGGGCAGAGACCTGAGAACAAGGGGAAGAACCGGTACAAAAACATCTTGCCCTGTGAGTCCTGCACTCCCATTGGGAAGAGATCCAGGGCCTGCATGTTCCTGCCTCAGCGGGAGGGGGCTGCCGCAGAGGGACAGTGCAGACTTGTCAGAGCCCTGCCTAGAGTTACCCTACAGAGAGCCTCAAGTCGCCTGGGGATTATTTGCCCTGCTGCAAGGATGAGCTACAAGGTGCCCTGACAGGGTGTTTAAGGGCATAGAACAGAGGGAGGTGAGGCCCAGCTGGTGGGCCGCATCCAGCCGGTCAGACCCTTCAGTCCAACTCCCAAGCTGTTGCCAGGGAGAAGGGTCAGGGCAGCCTTGCTGAGAGGAGCCTGCCCAACTCCCACAACACAGAGTGCAGGGGCGGCTAGCTCCCAGCCCTCCTATTCTGCCCCCCTTATGGCCTCAGCTCCCCCAATGCCGGGGCCACAGCCCTGGTGCTCTGGAGGGCACAGCAGGGGCTGGGGAGCAGTGGGGGTTGGCTGGGGAGCATTGGGTCCCAGGAGTACGATCAAGGGTGGGGAGCAGCGGGATTTTGGATGGGGGCTGGGCCCCGGGAGGGCAGTTGGGAGGTGGGGGGAGAGGGGTTCGATAGGGGGCAGGAGTCCTAGATGCTGGATGGGGGAGGGGCGAGTGGGAGTGGAGGGGTTGCATGGGGTGGGGCTGGCTACCCTTGGCTGTTTGGGGAGGCACAGCCTCCCTCAGCCTTCTCTTCTCAGCCCGTCATACTGTTTCCCTACCTGCAGTGGCCTTCCGGCCCAAAAGGGTGCCCACCCCAGCTATTGAGTGTTTGGTGAGGCACTGCCCCCTCTTCAAGCTGGCGTGAGCGAGGGCGCTGGCACGCACACCTGCTAGGCTGGCCCAGACGGGAAAGGGGGGTACTGGGCTGTAGGGGCCTGTTGGTCTGATCCAGTCTGAGGGAAGGTGGGGGCTGGGCTTAGGGTTGCCAGGTGTCCGGTTTTGAACTGGACAGTCCAGTATTTGAGCTTTCTGTCCGGGAAACCAATTGAGAAAATAGAAATGTCGGGTATTTTCTAAATAAGATGTAATGTCGATTGTGATGTGATGTCAAGTGTGTCCAGTATTTTTGTTGAAACCATCTGGCCACCCTTGCTGGGCTTGATGGGCCCATTGGATTGATCCAGAACAGTGTTTCTCAACCTTTTTTTATAAAATGCCCCCTTTTAAAAAAAAAATAAAAAAATGATAAATACCCCCAGTACCTCCTGTTTTCAGACACACCATTTTTTTCTACCATTGCAACACATTTGTTTAAAGAACTTAATCATAGCTGGGAGGGGGGCAATTAACTTTTTGGGTGTAAAAAGTACAAAATAATGAAACGCTGTAAAACTTAAAACAAAAATTCACTTTTCTCCAAATCTCAGTTATTTTGATGCCCCCCCAGACTTCTCTTGAGTACCCCTCAGGGTACTCATACCACTGGTTGAGAAACACTAGTCCAGAGTGTAGGGTGTGGGCTGCATGGGTCTAGTGTTTGCATTTTGGGCTGGGGGGGCACCTCAGTACAGTGTTAACCTCTTCCCTTCCTTGTCTCCCTAGTTGATCATTCACGAGTCATCCTACAAGGCAGGGACCCAAATATCCTCGGAGCGGATTATATCAATGCCAACTACATCAAGGTGAGATGTAGAAATGCTGCCAATCTTGGCGTAGTAGGGGTGGGTGGGAAGTACGGGACACCTGGTTCCTCTAACCCTGCCCTTCCCTTGCCCCTGTGCTGCTCTGCAGAACAAGCTGATCAGCCCGGATGAAGTCACTAAGACATACATCGCCAGCCAGGGCTGCCTGGACGCTACTGTCAACGACTTCTGGCAGATGGTTTGGCAGGAAAACTCCCACATCATTGTGATGACGACCCGGGAGGTGGAGAAAGGGAGGGTAGGTGTCTCCGAAGGCCCATTTCTGGCACCCATCCCTCCTCCTTCCCCTGCCAGCCACTCACACTTTGCCTCTTTCTTTCTGCCTGGGGTGTTTTCCTTCTCCTGCGCTCACTGATCCCCTTGTCTCCTTTTTCCTCCCAGAACAAGTGCGTCCCCTACTGGCCAGAGGTGGGCAGCAGCAGAGAGTACGGGCCATATGTGGTGGAGAATACACAGGAGCGCGACGCCCTGGAGTACAAGCTGCGGCAGCTCTGTATATCGCCAGTTGATGATGTGAGTGCCACGCCCCCGAGCACTTGTTCTTCCTGGGACTTCAGCTGTGGCTAAGCCTTCAAGCCTGACATTTCGGAGGGCACTAGATGAAGGGAAACGGGACTTTTCACCTCTGGGGCCTTGGTTCCCGTCTGGCCCCTCATTTGGGAAGCAAGTGGGAGACTGGCCGACGCGAGAGCACCAGGGAATGGTGCGTGGGCACGTTCAGCCCAGCCTCTGCGCCGGTTGGGGGCTGCAGGGACCAAATATTGGTGCCTTCTGTCTGTTGCTGTGTCTGCGCCGCAGTCAGGCGAGACCCTAGGACCCTTGTCAGCAGGCTGGGGTCCTGAGGGACTGGTGGGAATGGGGTGGAACTGGGCACCACCTGCCATGTGTGTGTTTGTCGCCCCTAGTGCGAGGCTGTGCGTGAGATCTGGCAGTACCAGTACCTGAGCTGGCCCGACCACGGAGTCCCCAGTGAGCCTGGAGGGGTGCTCAGCTTCCTGGACCAAATCAACCAGCAACAAGAGAGCATCCCCGAGGCTGGGCCCATCGTGGTGCATTGCAGGTGGGCCGGGAGTCACAGGGGAGGGGCAATGCCTGCTGTGCTGCAGGGGGTGGGCCGGGTGACTCTGCCAGGGTCGCAGTGCTGCTGGAGGTGGCATTCGTAACCTGGACACCCTGACTGCTCACAGTCCATTCCCTGCGACCCGGGCGAGCCCCTGTGTTCCCACAGGTCCCTGTGTGGTACTTGCATTGCAGCACCCCCCAGCCACCTCCCGGCTCAGGTTGCAGGGCCCATTCTGCTTTCCTGTCCCAATCTCTTGTGCAGTTTCTGGGCTGCTGCTAAACAATGCCAGTGCCCGCCCCAGAGGTGGCTGGTTTGCAGTGGTGAGTGCAGGACGGCCTGGGAGCCCTGGGGGTTGTAGCCAGCAGCCCTGGGGGTTGTAGCCCTCGGGAACTGGGTGGTCCCAAACTACAGAATTTTCTGGACAAGAGGAGGTCAAGGATCCCTACCCTGTTGTAGGCTCTGCACTGTGCCAGGCCTGGCCAGGGTTGCGTCCACCACTCCCCCACCACCCCAGTGCCAGCCCAGAATGCACGCCCAGCTGACTCTAGCCCCAGGCAGGGCTGAGTTCCTGCACTGTGCCAGCACTCCTGGCCCCCAGCCCTGCTACCTCCAGCCCCGATTCCTTGCTGCTGTACTCGCCACCACGCTGGCGCTGCGAGGCTGGCCGTCCCACCTCCAGCCCAGCCCGGGCTGTGCTTTTGAGCCTGGACAGCCAGGGCTCTCTGGTCCAGCAATATTCGTGGACCTGCAGGACCATGGATGTTGCCGACCCAGAGAGTCCCAGGTTTTAGAGGTTCAACCTCCTGACTTCTGCTTGTCCTTCTGTGCAGCGCTGGGATTGGCCGCACCGGGACCATCATCGTCATCGATATGATAGTGGATACAATCTCCACCAAGGGTAAGATCCTCCCCAGCCTCCTGCGCCACATGCAGCGTCTGCCCCATGGCCAGTCGTCTGCCAGCGACTTCGTCCCTAGCTGGAGCCCTGACCCTAAGAAGTGGCTACCCCAGTGCCACCCATCTTTGCCAAAGATCCCACAGTGCGCCCAAGGCTGACCAGAGATGGTGGGGGCCAGTGCATGGAGCTGGAACCGGCGGTTGGCGGAAGGCTGCCTGGCTGTCGCTTGACAGCAGCTGGAACCCTGCGTGCTCCTTTGTGGCTATAACAGCCCAGTCAGCAGCGCTGGCGTTGGCCAGGGACTGGCTCTCCCAGAGGGGCCGCCATTTAGAGGCAGGCAGACAGGGTTAGTGAATGGAACTGGGCACTGAAGGTATCAGTGTCTCCTCCAGCCTAGGTAGGGGGCCTGCTGGGACTAGGTGTCCTTGGAATTTTGTCTGGGGACTTCACAGGCTGGGGAAAGGTCTAACTCATGCCAGCAGCTCCCAGCCCATAACTGCTCCTTGGCTTCTCGCTGTCTCCCAATGCGCCACCTCTAGGGCTGGACTGTGACATAGACATCCAGAAGACCATCCAGATGGTAAGGGCCCAGCGCTCGGGAATGGTGCAGACTGAGGCCCAGTATAAATTCATCTACATGGCCATCTGCCAGTTCATAGAGACCACCAAGAAGAAGCTGGATGTCATGCAGGTGAGCGGGGTGCTCCATGCACTCAGTCCCAGGAGATGATGTTCTGTCTGCCACAGCATATGGGCATGAGGCCATTGCCCTTTGCCCTCTGGCCCTGTTCCATTACCCCAGACCCCGGGGCAGTGCTGGCTATCACTCCACAGTCCTCTCTTGTCTCGTTCTCTCCGGCAGGCTCAGAAGGGGCAAGCGAAGGAGTCCGAATACGGGAACATTGCGTACCCGCCTGCGCTGAAGAACAAGCATGCCAAGGCCTCTCGGAAGTCCTCCAAGTAAGAGCTGAGGCTTATCAAGTATTCCCCCCTTCCCTGCCCTGGTGATAGCCTTGGCCTTTCACTCCATCCCTCCCGCTGTTAGCTGTGCCCTTCCCCACTGTCCCCACCACCGTCCCGCCTTGCCTCCCCACCACTGTTGCTGGCTTGCCATGTCCTGTTCATCTCTCATGTCCTGTTCTCGTGCAGGCAGAAGGAGGAACCAACACTGTATGAGAACTTAGAGAACCTCAAAGGCAAGAAAGAGGAGCGAGTGCGGAAGCAGCGCTCGTCTGAGAAGGAGAAGCTGAAGGGCTCGCTGAAGAAAAAGTGACTTTCTGCTGCAGGTG